ACATCAGTGAATATTTACAAGGAGAACCTTGATTTTAACCGGAAAACGAATTTTGAAGATTATTTGGCATTCTGCCCTTATTGCTGAAGACTAATGCTTTTTTCTTAAGGTTTCTAGTCTAGGCTCCTACTTGACAGCATCGGTGGTCAACTGCTACTAGATACGGAAGCCGGTTGATCGCAAGCCTCATTTTTTTCCGTTCAGAATTATTTGGCTACAGGAAGTTTAGTCCTAACGTGATTTGCATTTATCAAACTTTTGCTGTGTTCCTACGCAACAAAAGTACCATTTCTGACCAAAAGAATCTATCCTGAGCTATACGTTCAGTAGATTACTTTTTTTTAGTTCCACCCCATTTAATAGTTAACTGTGGTTTTGCCTCAGCTTACTATTCGGTTTTTTCCCAGTTTTTCACGTAAAGACTAGTTTAGTTTGTCTCATCCGTTTTATCCATTTTTGTCCGTTTTCAGTGTGCTTTTTAGTGTATTTTTTACGGTCGTAGGCTTTTGCTAGCATCTACAACACAATGTACGTCAATACAGTCATGAAAAGTCATGCAAACGACCTGGATGCCGTTTTGCTGTTACATCTGGCATGCAGTGCGACAACTGCAAAGGTTGGTTCCACGAAGCGTGCACAGATCTCACAGCAACTGCTTACAACAAACTCAGCACGTCGGACCATAAGTGGGAATGTGTTACGTACAGCACGGATGCTGCAGTCTTGCTGAGTAATATCATTGTCCTACTGACAGGTCTACAGAGCAAGTTGTCGGCAAACTTGGGAAAAGGCAGTCAAAAAATTGGTAGAAAAACAAGAGAGCGCATTAAAAACGAGAACAGGGATGTCGACAGGTCTACCAACGACGGAGCATGCAACAGCATTAATGATGACACGCTGAAACTCAGCACCATGATTACTACGACAGTACTCGACTCCATCAGCAAACTCGGGTTTCACAGCTCAAGCTCTTTGAACGCGACAGTGGTTCCCAAAAACTCTGTAGGTGATTGAACCCATGTCAAAAGAGCTAAAAAGGGCCAGGTGTCACAGTCTAAGTTGAACATCCCAGCTGTTGAACGGCGGTCAACTGGTGATCTGGTCGCGCAGTCTACTCCCAAGATTGTCCGTTCGGTCATCAAAGAGCCAAGGATTTATAAACGTGCTTCGGCCCCCAAACAACAAGGTGCTAAACCTGAACGCACCGGAAAACCTGGGACGACAATAACGGTTCGTGATGACTCTCTCATAGTCAAGACAACCCTGACCTTCCTCCCAGTTTGCAGGACAAAAATGATAGGATGCTCTGGGGAGAATTGAACAAGAAACTTGGACTTCCAGGAATAGAGCCTTTGACAGTCACACGACTCACTCTGGGAAAGGAATCTTAGCATCAAAATCACCCGAGGCTGCTTCGTGTAACACTTAAGAATGTCTTACTAGCGAGTCATTTACTGAAGTCAGATGGGAATGTAAGAATACTGCCTGACATACCGTATTCTGAGCTCAATCTCATCCGGAACATCCCCAAAGAAACTCGCGATAAGTTTTTCCGCGGGAGGAATATAGTCGTGCAAGGTATACCGGAAAATACGGACCCTACTCAATCAAAAACTGACATCAGGGAATGGAAATTCATCAAACAGTCCTTGAGGCTCAAAAACATACTGACTCAGCATGTGACGAGAATAGCCAAGAAGGATGGTGATTCTAGACCTCGTCTAATGAAGATAACCTTCCCATCTTCACATATGTCGGCTGCAACTCTGGAAGCATTTCGTGCCAACAGACGTCGACTGCCACCTGGAATCCACATGCACCCGGATAGGCCATACGAAACTAAGACCAAACACAAAGGCAAGTTGGAGCTGACCATTCCACTTGTGAACTGTCTAGACGATAAAAAAACGTGTAAAGGACAGGGCCTACCACCTCGGCGAACCTCATATAGGTGGGCTACCTGTCCATTTACGTAAGGCTCATACAGACAAACAGGACGAAGCTCACGCGTTCCAAATTGGAAGCATAAACTGCTTATATATGAACGCCGCGAGTCTACCAAACAAACTGGATGAACTACGTGATCTTAGCAATGCTAGTAAGGCCCATCTGATAGGAATATTTGAAACCTGGATATCTTCTCAGTTCTCGGACCATGAGTTAGCATTACCTGGGATGTCTTTGTTCCGCAATGACAGAAAATCAGGATATGGGGGCGGAGTAGCTGTTTACATACGTTCTTGCTTGGAGGTGCATAAAGTTCATAACCTCGAGTTTAACAATCTTGAGGAATCTATATGGTGCTCTGTAAGATTGTCAAGTACTTCGAGGTGTCTAGTCGGAGTCATTTACAGGAAGCCAACTGCCGACATCGATTACGATAGTCGTATGCTGGAAGGGCTATCCCGCTCTACTTGTCTCGGTTTCACACACATCCTGATTCTAGGGGACTTTAATCTCCCTAGAGTCAACTTCGCGGAACACACGTATACTGGAGGCGACAACTCAATTGGAGCTCGGTTCTTCAACCTCATCGATGACTTGGGATTGTGCGAAAATGTGAGGTCGGCAACTCGTTGGAGAAACAGTCAGACGCCATTGCGCTTAGACTGTGTATTCACAAACGAAGCATTTCTAGTTGACAACCTCTCAATCTTGGCTCCCCTGGGAAAAAGCGATCATGCCGTCATAGCCTTCAATTTTGTCAGCAAAACTAAGCTGAGATACCCTACCAATAACTTGCGTTGGAATTTTAAACGGTTGAATGTGCCAGCTCTACACGACTATCTACAACCGGTGGTTTGGGATGTTCACCCCCAACTCGATGTGGACGGTCATTGGGACTTCTTACTGCACACGCTCTTATGTGCTACAAACCATTCAGTTCCTCAAACGGTTCCCGAAAGCTGCAAGCCACCTACAGTAATCAAGAACCGTACCCTTCCCCTGCTAAGCCGCAAAAGGCACTGTTGGGCGGAATACAAACGAACTGACAACGACGGAGCGTACAGGCGATATAAGCATATTAGGAACATATGCACGAAGGCTACAAGAGAAGATAGGCTTCAGTACCAGACAAAGCTTATGGACAAATTAGCCTCTAATCCTAAAAGCTTATTCCGTTATGCAGCCTCTCTTCGACAAGCCAAAACAGGAGTTTCCCAACTGGTAGGTCTTAACGGCCCGACCAACAACGATGGTGACGCCGCTAAGCTTCTGGCTGGACATTACTCCCAGACATTTCAACCGACCGACATTAACTTTACTGATGACAGTTTCGTTTGCAATTCCACAGGACTTTCCAAAGTGAACCTAAGCGCTGACTTGGTGTTCCGGAAACTGCAGCACTTAAGATTAGACACTTCTCCTGGCCCGGACATGGTCCATTCCGCCATACTGAGGGAAGCAGCCTCAATCTTAGCAGCTCCGCTTAGCGTGATGTTCTCACACTCGCTAAGTCGAGGAAAACTACCGGAAAATTGAAAGCTGGCTCACATCACACCGATTTTCAAAGGAGGTTGACGCAGCGAACCCTCAAGTTACCGACCGGTGGCTCTTCTCTCCATACCCTCAAAAATCATGGAGTCCCTGATATGCGATGGTATAAATGACTATTTACTGTCCTTAAATCTCTTCTCACCCCAACAGCATGGTTTCAGGAAGGGTTACTCTTGTATAACCAACCTGCCAACTGCGGTGGACAGATGGACAGGCATCCTCGATCGCAAGGGAAAGGTTGATATCATTTACCTTGATTTCTCAAAAGCTTTTGATAAGGTTAACCACTTGTGTCTTATCAACAAGCTCAAACGACTGGGTATCAAACCACCTCTAATCGATTGGCTCACTTCATACCTGAAAAATCGATATTTTAAGGTTAGGGTTAATTTCACTTTATCTCAGGCTATGGAATGTCCTAGTGAGGTCCCCCAGGGCTCAGTACTAGGGCCTCTTCTCTTCTTGATCTACATAAATGATCTTCCTCAAGAGGTAACGTCAGACTTATTACTTTTTGCCGACGACATGAAACTTTGGAGACAGATACGCAACCAAGACGATATACAGGCACTTCAGGAGGATTTGACTCGACTTCAAATTTGGGCAGACGATAACGGACTTACCTTTACCACTTCAAAGTGTAAAGTAGTCCATCTGCGACATGTCGCAAACTACAGTTACAACTTAGGAAACTCCTCTCTAGTAGTATCCCAAGTCGAAAAAGATTTAGGAGTCCTGGTGCCCCACGACTTAAAGTCTTACTCCAACTGTGACAAAAATGCCTTCCGAGCAAACCTTGCACTGGTAACATTGGAGCGCATTTTTGGCCAGTTTGACGGAAGAACTTTCCATGTAATCTTTAATCATTTTATCAGTCCCCATTTAGAGTATGGAAACATAGTATTTCCCCCCTCGTTCCAAAAGGATAAGGACACCCTGGAGCGTATCCAACGGCGAGCCACGAAATCAGTTCGAGGACTCACTTAAACCTTACGAAGAGCGCCTCCATTCACTTAACCGTTACCCATTAGAGTATAGACGTCTTAGAGTTGACCTTCTGATGGCTTATAGTATCCTTAACACTTCTGAACATCCTCTCAAACACCTACTTAAGCTTAGTTCCAACACTAACCTAAGAGGTAACACCCAGAAACTGGAGACACAACATAGGACGGACTGTAGACACAACTTCTACTCCTTAAGAGTTGTCAAATGCTGGAATGCGCTGCCGGCCGAGCTAGTCCAAGCGACTTCTCAGGAGTCCTTTAAGAGGCAACTTGATCTATTCTTAAGGACTAAGGATAGTATCGCACTATGATTTACCAATTTCTTTTCCTCTTTTATTGTTAACATACCTAGGTTCCTGCCTGGAGGTTTTGGTGATCCCCTGCTACTAGACACGGAAGCCTGTTAAGCGAAAGCTTCTTCTATTCCGTCCACAACCATTTGAACCATTCGAACTATTTGAACTACATTTTTGACTCTTGCGTTACATCTCAGAAATGAAACAACTGTATAATTACATAGCGTCAGCAGATGATAAATACCCTTTGTTTCGGACGAAGATGGCTTTTATGGGCGGTTACTGTGTTAGTGAGTCAAGAAATTTTTTAATCTTTGGTGTCGGTATTAAGCTGTATTCATCCTTTCCATACAATACCATATTTATAAATGAAGGAATTTACTTTCACTAAGGAATACTGGTTTAAAGAATTACACTTGTTTCCTGTCACTTTGGTTTTTTTGTTTACAGGTTTATCTTTAATTACGTTCGATGAAAATGGCTGATCAGCTGATTAGTCGTAATGTGCACACTTGTGTGTGCCTTACTTCAGATTCATTCTTCCATTGTAAGGATAATCGGTTTTTCCGGTGAAAGTATACTACACTTACACCATTAATCAACTTACTAGCCAGTAAAGAATCTGAATATAAGACATTTTACAACGAAAAGCACCATGATGGTGGTTGGATTGTACTCTTGATACGTTTACTTAACATTTCCATGCCAGATTAAGCACTACAGCGGCAAAAATATTATGTACATATACTGGGAGTCAGAATAGTGTCTCCAGTTTAGGATCCAACTTAGGGTTTTCGTTACGAACTGACATCAACTACAAACTAAATGGTTAGGTATAGGAATTCGAAGTTGAAGTCAAGTTATGATCCAGGATTACGACTTTTTTGATGTCTTCATCATATAATGGCGTCAACTTTAATGCAGAGAGTTAAAGATGAGATCTAGAGCTAGGGTGATAATATGTAACTACACAAACACTCCTGCCTATCCACTGAATCACACTAGGTATTCTACCATACATTCTGTGTTACGAGTAGATATTTCTCGTGTTTTGGTTTGCAAATCATATCATATTCATTATTTGGTTGCATTATAGATGTTTCCATCGTCGATTTGGTAATCTTTTACCGCTTAACCTGTGTTAGTTCGTGCAGTATGCTTTCTTGTCAGGATTAAGTTTTTTCCTTAAAATTGATCATCGACGAGTCAGTCAATCAGTAACAACGTAGAACTTCGTACGTACGTACATCAGTTTGAGTTGCCACACCACATTAGCACAGAGATGCAGTGGTCGATTTAAATCCTGTAGTGGTAGAGATAGTAGGAGTATAAGCAGTAATCAGAAAAATTAGTGTTTGGAGATGTTATTTAAAGAGTATAATACATTGAAATAAGTTTGGAAAGAGAAAAAAGGAGACAAAAAGGAATAAGGAGATCGAAATTTGGGAGAACACAGAGAGTGGATGGACCTGCGCCATTGCAAACGATTTTGAGCCATGTCATTTAAGGTCTCTAACCATCGGTTGCTATCATCTCGCGGTCCCCAACCAGGTAGTCTACACCTATGAACATGACTAAATCCACTTGTCAGTGACTTCATGGACTTGTGCCATGTTTTGGTCTGGCCTCCCCTAGCTTTCTTCCAACCTACTCCTACACCAGAAAGCATCGCACGTCGGGGCAGTCGGTGGTTGGGCATACGTAACACAAGTCTCAGCCATCTCAACTGATGAAGTTCTACTACTTCATCAATGGATTTGCCATCCTTACTTAGTACCCGTTTCCTAACAACTGAGTTACTTACTCGGTGGTCCCAGGATATACGAGCAATATTTCGAAGACACCTATGATCAAATACTAGTAACCTACGAATATCCTCTACTCTTACTGACCATATTTCACTGCCATAAAGTAAGACGGAACGAACTGCTGCGCAATAAACACGTCCTTTGGTTGGTAGACGGATATCTCGCCTACGCCATAAATGACGCAATTTGGCAAAAGCTAGTCGAATCTTCTGTATCCGTGCTGAGATTTCGTCACACACCAGACCACAAGGGCTGATGAGACTTCCAAGATAAATGAAGCGATCGACACGCTCAACTACTTCACTCCCTATCACTAGTTCGGGTGTCGATGCAATCCAATCCTGAAGTAACATTTTGCACTTTGAGGAGGAGAATCGCATCCCGAACATGCTTTCATTGTTGCTTACAGTGGTCAGAAGGCTCTGCATTTTGTCAGCGTCTTCACCAAACAGAACTATGTCATCTGAATATTTTAAGTCAACAAGTGAATCTCCCGGTAGAAGTTCAACCCCTGGAAATTTAGATGAGGAAAGTGTCATCTCTAAAAGTACGTCAACGAAAAAGTTAAACAAGAATGGAGAGAGTGGACAACCCTGACGAACACCACTTGAGGTAATCAATTCTGATGACAGTTCGCCATAACCTCTCACTTGACCAGTTGTGTTCGAGTAGAGAGCCTTTATAATGTTAATGTACTTCTTTGGTACTCCTTTCAGTGACAAACACTGTTATAGAGCCTCACGATCAACGGAGTCAAATGCCGCCTTAAGGTCGAGAAATACTACGATTGTGGGGTGTCTGAATGTGTGTCTGTGTTCTAGGACCTGACGTAGTGTGAATATCTGGTCTATACAACCACGTCCAGGTCGAAAACTAGCCTGACTTTCTCTAGTCTGTTCTTCACGAACTTTGGTTAGGCGTCGAAGAATTATTGAAGCTAATATTTTAGATAATATATTTGTCAAACTGATTCCTCTGTGATTGTCACAAGAGGACTTTTGTCCTTTCTTATAGACTGGCAAAATCAGTGATTGAGACCAGTCAGATGGGATTACGTCCAGTTCCCAAATTCTACCTAAGAACTCAGTTAATCTCACTGCTAATACTGGACCACCATCCTCAAAAATCTCAGGAGTAAACCTGTCAGGACCTGCTGCTCTCCTTAGCTTCAGATTTCCTATGGCTTTTTCAGCTTCTAAAGAGTCGGAGGACTTACATTAACTTGCCATTCAGGTAGACTGGAGATTGTGAGAAACCGAAGTGTGGCTGAAGGCCGGTTGAACTGATCCCTAAAGTGTTCTGCCCATCGATCCAATCTCCTGGATTGAGAATGAATAATATGTCTATCTTTCTCTGAGAGTGTTTCGTTAACAGTCGGTTTCCTCAACAAGTCTGAAAAGTTGTCTGCTGTTACCTATTGCCGCTGCCTTTTCCATCTCGCTTGCTTTCGCTACCCACCACTGTTCACGATCATTGTGTAGACTTCTTGTCAGCTTGCGCTTAAGCTGACTCCGCTCTTCGTTATGTTCAGAGCCAGATGGAATGAGTTTCCGAGCATCTATCAGTGCGATAGATGCCGCTGAGATCCATTGTTGCCCCCTAACCTTACGGGTTATCGTACTAGCAGATATCACTGCTGTTTCCACAGCTTTTCGGATATCATTCCATGCTGCATCGGGGTGGGCATCACATACATGGCTGCCTAACTGTTTTCCTAGTTGTTCCTGAAACATACTCTTAGCTTGACTATCATTAAGTAGGACCCTAAGAGGTTTCTTTGCAGCGTCTTTCCTACGTCCAGTAAGACGCAGGCAAATACGCGCTCGTACTAGAGCGTGATCTGAATCTAAGCATGTGCTCCAAAGTGAGCGACAGTCTTCTATCGAGCCCCTCCATCGGTGGCTGATAGCGATGTGATCTATTTGGGTCCAACGTTGGGACGAATTAGGGGGTCGCCATGTTAAAAGATGTTTTTTGATTATGCCTAAAGTTAGTATTTTCAAGAAATAGGTTATCTGAGCATAGCTGCAACAGACGGTCGCCATTATTTGTTCTTTGAGCCACGATGCTATATGATCCACCCAGGTGTCTTTCCCTATCGCTTAGTTTACCTACTTGTGCATTAAAGTCACCAGCCGCTGTTACTGTAAAACTCATCTTTTACATCATCTGCGCTGCAGTCAGTGGGAGAATAGGCAGAGACGACGAAGAGGCAACGACGAGTGTCCCTATCGAGTTGGTTCGTTACTTTGACATGGTGAGGTCAAATGAATGACGCTACTCGGATCTTGTATGCGCGTTTCGGAGACGCAGTACACATCAATGGCGCGGGATTCTAGAGTCTTAGCTAAGGAAGCCTGCTGTCCTATTCGTCACAGTGTTCGGATGTTAAAAGCTACGTGTAGTTTAGAGTGTGGTTTCAGGAAACCAGGAATAGCGTTCCGCGTACTCGAATCGTTTGCCCTAGCGGTGCGAGGTGATAAAGAGACGTGAGGAGGGTTAGTCATGGAGATAAGAGAGGTTTTAGGAGGTGTATGAAGGATTTGAATGTGACCACCTTGGTCTCTTGTGCTGTTACGGGTATGAGGGCTGATGTCACTGCCCGGCTGCCCACACAGTGGAAGGGTATTTCTTAAGGAACCTAAAAAGGAAATTGGATTAGTGTTGGTCTTGACGACCTGGGAGCGTGACCTCAGAGCCCAAGGGACAACTGCTTGAGGCCGGTCACGCACGGCCTTTTCGTGGAAGGTTTTTAATGTGTTAGCTCCGTTCTTCAAAGGGCCTCACCGCCGGAGACGGACATCCGTGAGGTAAGGTGAGGTGTGACATTTTAGGGTCGACCTTTTCTAACCCAACCCCTCCTTGTGGGAAGGCAGCATCGCTGCAGATGCTGGTTGTCCGAGGGAAACACCTTACTGCTGTCACACCTCTCTACAGTCATCAGTACGACTTCGCCCTCAGACCTTGAGTATAGCATCAATATACCCCCCTGGAGCATTTCAATCATTGATCACTCTATGTCTTTGAGGATTCCAATATGTGGTCGTTTAGAGGATTCGGGCTTTTGTTTTGACAAGAGATTCCTGGGGGCCTGTGTCAATCTTTTTCTAGTAAGCTTCCATGCTTTTATTCTCTTGGATCCACTAGCTGGGGGCACAAGCTTTTATTTCAGTGTTTGGCTCAGAGTAGATTTCTCGGTGGAGAAATTTTTATGACACGGTGTTTTGATTCGTTCTTTGCTTTCAATCGTAGTCTTTGAGCTTTTTATTATGGTAGTCTCGGAGACGGCTAGCTATAAAGGGAGCAAAAGATATAAGCGCCTAAGTTTTATTCAAGATACTAAATGGTAGTGCATTATCAGTCCGTATTTTCTGACAAAACAAGGGAAAGTTCAAAAAGTCCTGTTACCAGGCTACTGTCTACTCATACGTCCTATGGGATAAGCATTTTTATTTTGACATGGGATGGCTGCTTGAATATAGTATTTTAGATAAAGCATCACATAGGTGGGACATAAACTTTGAAACACTTTTTTGCTAAGGTATTTTAGGACCCTACGAAGTGGCCATGATACACTATACTCTTAAGCAGCTGTTAAATTACAGTCTACGGTCTTTTTCAATCCATGGCTTGTAACTACATATCAGTCTTTATGTTCCATAAATTAATGTAGTGTTATCTCGTCGATAGTGTGCTGATGATTGCTACCATGGGCCATCGTTCAAGTAAATTCGTTCTTTACAATGGAGACGATGGGGCATAAGTCAGTTGTCAAAATATCAGTTACTAAAAACTGATGGAGAATATTATGCATTCAGTTAATGCAGTCTCGTACGGAACCTAAATGCTTCTAAACAAATAAAAATCTGGACATCACTCAAAGCAATAACTCAGTCAAGTACAGTTCTGAAGGAATGTGAGATATCCATGCCCCCAAATGCCCTGGTATGGCCAAGAGTAGGGAGAATCAGATCTCCCTCTCGAAATGCTCTCATATGGACACGCGTATATAGCCTCTGTCAGGGAAGTCCTACTCATTGCCTTCTCGTGGTTGGGCTGTTGTTTACGAAATTGAGAGAACGAAAAGCGAATGTCAGGCACTTTAACCGGGTTGGCGAATACGGAGGATCCACATAGAGAAGTTGGAAAACCCTGATTCCAAACTAAAGGTGCACATGGGCTCCAGTATCCTGAAGGAACAAATGGCGTATGGACCTACTGTTGGTCACCAGCTACCATGAGACTGCATCTCTTGACATAGCTCCACTGCCCTGTGGATCAGACCTTCGGGTCAAAAGCCCCGGGTGTGGCCTCCTAAGAACACCACCTGCTTCGGTTTGGGCACCCAGGCAGTATCACAGCCCTCACACATATCAAATGAGATTTGTGTGGCGCATATGTATTTGGTGCCTCCTTATATCAATGTTTATGTGTTCAAGTAATAATAATAATAATAATAATAATAATAATAATAATAATAACAATATATCCGTCCATCAATTAAGTGACGACTATATTGTGCAGCAGTTCGTTCCGTTCTACTTTACGGCTGCAAAACACACAAACATTGGTACAAGGAGGCACCAAATACATATGCGCCACACAAATCTCATTTGATATGTGTGAGGGCTGTGATACTGCCTGGGTGCCCAAACCGAAGCAGGTGGTGTTCTTAGGAGGCCACACCCGGGGCTTTTGACCCGAAGGTCTGATCCACAGGGCAGTGGAGCTATGTCAAGAGATGCAGTCTCATGGTAGCTGGTGACCAACAGTAGGTCCATACGCCATTTGTTCCTTCAGGATACTGGAGCCCATGTGCACCTTTAGTTTGGAATCAGGGTTTTCCAACTTCTCTATGTGGATCCTCCGTATTCACCAACCCGGTTAAAGTGCCTGACATTCGCTTTTCGTTCTCTCAATTTCGTAAACAACAGCCCAACCACGAGAAGGCAATGAGTAGGACTTCTCTGACAGAGGCTATATACGCGTGCCCATATGAGAGCATTTCGAGAGGGAGATCTGATTCTCCCTACTCTTGGCCATACCAGGGCATTTGGGGGCGTTCTAATACTTAGAATGAAGGTTTATCGCTTAGTCTCGAGGCCTTCTTTTTGGTACAGTAATGTTTAAAGCTGACTACGTGAAATGCTTGATGATTTACATAGATACAGTATTTCTCGTTTGTGGATATTTATTTTCTACTATACTTGTTGCTGATTCGAAGTAAATGTAATCAGCTGACTAAAGTAATAAATTTCGGATGAGCTTTACAACTCATTATGCTGGAAGTTATTTATTCTTACAAAAGTGTTGCTACTTAAAATGTATAACTTAATTGGTCACTCAACCCATTGTAAAATTTACAGAATCATAGAAATAAGGGACGCACAGACAGTTCCATGAAAAAATAAATTCTAATTAACAGTACTTTTCATTTTAAAGTTAATATAAATGTATTATGACTCAACAAAAGTCACTCATCATTTTAAACTTGTCGTTTACTTTGTTACTTCAGGTTTTATTGCTTGTGTGCTCGAATATGGCAGAGCGCATAGACTAGGTTCGAGCCTAAATAGTACGGGACTACAGTGTATTAAATACGTGCTCACTGGAAGTAAATATTTCTTTCACTACTATGCTATTGTTTTAGCGTCTGCTGCAGTATGTCACTCGTCTGTTTCCTTTATATCAGCAAAAGCTACAGGCCGATCAGATAGCTGGGTGAATCATGCACTTGGGGGAGCTGCTAGTGGTTTAGTCTGCACATGGCAATGTGAGTCTTGTTAGTGTTTATAACATACTATTTTGTACATTTGTTCGTTTAATAATACGTCGTATTGTTTACCACATGTTTTGCTCTTTCAATGCAAGTAAAAGAGAATTCTGAGTTCTGATACTTCTATATGTATGCATAAATTTAATTGGCTCTTTGGAATCGAACACGTAGCCGAAACGGCCTGGAGAAGATATTGTCCCTTTATCAAATACTGTCCACTTTTTTAAAGTTCAGCATTTTTTCATCTACTAAAGAGCGAGAATAAGACCAATAAAGCTTAGTTTTCACTATAATATGTAGTGTCGACGAAATTCTCCATCTAAATTTATATTCACTTACCAAGGACAATGAAGACCATGGCGATCAAAGTTAGCAACCAGGTGTATACATGAAAACATTTGATTCCTTTACATTCCTCAGCCTTCACATACAAGTGGGCATCATATTGATCATTTTCTTTTCAGTCAGATCACCGAAGCTTAAGTAAGGCTAGTAACCTGGACGTTAGTCGAATATTTCCAATCTTATTGATCTAGTTCTGTTGGGATACTCAGAAAAATATCCCAGAAACAATTATCCGGTTAAGTCTAACGCTACCGTTGAACGTTAAATGGTGTCATTTCCCGATTGGTCGTTTCCCTACTGATCAATATTTATTTCGCGTGTCATTTTCCTATTGGTCAATATTATTTAACGTGTCATCTTTCTGTTGGTCAATATTTATAGTAATCCTAACTGTATAAATATGCATTTGTTTGTAAGTCATTATTCTGCTGCTCCTGACCCCATAAACGATTTTCGTCTACGGTTCGTGTTCTGATATATTGGAGATTGGGAACAGTATTGGGGTCGAACTGGGATATCTGAAGCTTGTCGATTGGTAGAATTTAGAGTAGCCAACTCACGATTCACAATAAATTTGGCGACGGAGATTTAGCAACAAGTTGGTGATTAACTATGGATCCAGCCAAATTAGAAAAATTGTTCGAACAGCAGCTGAAGCTGATGGAGATGATTACTCAGACGCATATATCTTCTCGAGTCCCAACTGCACCGACAATTCCTGAATCAGTTGATGGTATTACCAGTGGTATTTCAGAATTTCTTTATGATCCTGATGCCAACATTACATTTGATACCTGGTTCAGACGTTATGAAGACCTTTTCAAAGTTGACTTTGTTGACAGAGATGATTCGTGGAAGGTGCGTCTTCTTCTCCGTAAACTTGGTCCATCCGAGCTGGATAAGTATTGCAACTTCATTCTACCGCAGAACCCACGCGACCGTTCATTCGACGCCACTATTCAGTCCCTTAGCCAACTTTTTGGTGATCATCACTCACTCTTCAGTACTCGATATCGCTGCTTAAAACTGATCATGAATGAGTCCGATGACTTCCTGACCCATGTCGGCGTTGTTAACCGTGAGTGCGAACGGTTCAAGCTCAGATCCCTCACTGAAGACCAATTTAAGTCCCTAATACTCATATGCAGTCTTCAGTCACCCAAATTCTCCGACATCAGAACTCGGTTGCTCAACCGCCTTGAACAAGATCCAACACTGACACTTAATGCGATCATAGACGAATACCAGCGCATCATCAATCTGCAGCGTGACACCACTTTGGTTCAATCTGGGGGCCAGGGTGGTTCCGAAGTTCATGCTGTTCAGCACCAGAAAAAATCTTCGAGATCGACAAACTCGAGTCCTTCGAACGCCAGCGCTGTTTCTATCTCTAATCACTCTAAACCGGTTCAGAAGAAGCCCCCCTCGCCATGTTGGCACTGTGGAGCCTGGCATTATGTGAAGTTCTGTCCATTCAAACAGCATGTGTGCGATCGCTGTCAGAAAGTTGGTCACAAAAGCGGCTTTTGCAAATCCAACCGATTCAATAACCGTCGAAATGCACAGACGCAGCGTCGTTTTCACAAAAAGCCGATTACCTCATCAAGGAGTTTAGCAGCAGTCTTCCATACTCATGCCGCGACTCGACGCAAATTTCTGACCCTCTCAATCAATGGTCAGCCAGTTCGTTTGCAGTTGGACACTGCATCAGATATCACCATTCTGTCGAAAAAGACTTGGGGAACCTTGGGTCAACCTCCCATCAAACCATCCTCTCAAACAGCCGTCAGTGCTTGTGGGGGTCATCTCCACCTTCATGGTGAACTCTGTTGCTGTATTTCATTCAGAGGTACAACCTTCAATGGGACATGCTACATCACCAATTCTCCGCTCAACCTTTTAGGTTTAGATTGGTTCGAAGAACTTGGTCTCGCTGATCTTCCTATTAGCGCTATCTGCAATCAAGTCCAAACTACTGCTTCTACACAACAGCATGCTGAAGACCTTCGAAAACGATTTATTGAACTATTTAAGCCTGGTCTCGGACTTTGTTCCACAACTGAAGCTGTTTTAAAACTGCAGCCAGAAGCTACGCCAGTTTTTCGCCCGAAGCGTCCAGTCCCATACGCATCTTTACCTCTGGTTGACGCTGAACTTCAACGTTTGGAAACTGAGAGTGTCCTAGTACCTGTTTCTTATTCATCATGGGCTGCACCAATTGTGGTTGTAAAAAAATCCAATGGTTCCATACGCATCTGTGCAGACTTTTCCACAGGACTCAACGCGGCTCTACAACAGCATCACTATCCGCTGCCGATCCCAGATGACTTATTTACTATTTTAAATGGTGGTACCTATTTTGCTAAGCTGGATCTGGCAGATGCTTACCTTCAAATTCCAGTCGCTCTAGAATCCAGAGAGTTGTTGACAATCAACACTCACCGAGGACTTTTTCAGTATACCCGGTTACCCTTCGGTATCAAAACTGCTCCAGCGATCTTCCAGCAGATCATGGACACTATTCTGGCAGATGTTCCTGGTGTTGCTACATACCTTGACGATGTGCTCATTGTCGGCGCAACTGCTGATGAATTGCATACCAGAACCCACTTAGTTCTGCAACGCCTCCAGGATAATGGTTTTCGCCTTCGCCCAGAAAAATGCCAGTTCTTCCTACGTTTCGTTAAATACCTGGGGTTTATCTTTGATGCTTCCGGACGACACTCTGATCCTCAAAATACTTACGCAATCCAACAAATGCCTGCTTCCACTGATGTCTCCTCACTGCGATCATTTTTGGGGATGATTAGCTACTATTCAGCATTTCTTCCATCACTGCATGACGTACGATATCCATTAAATCGTCTGCTAGAAAAGAATGCTACTTGGAATTGGTCAACGCAATGTGAGTCAGCCTTTTCAAAACTTAAAGCTATGCTAAGTTCCAATCTTCTGCTAACCCACTACAATCCGAAACTACCCATTGTGGTTGCTGCTGACGCTTCAACACATGGACTGGGTGCTGTAATCTCACATGTCTTTCCCGACGGGTCAGAGAAAGCGGTGATGCACGCTTCGAGAACATTAACACCTGCTGAGAAACGCTACGGTCAGATAGAGAAGGAAGCGTTAGCCCTAATTTTTGCTGTCCGGCGATTCCACAAATTCATTTATGGGCGCCGTTTCACCTTGCTCACAGACCACAAACCTTTGTTATCAATCTTTGGATCAAAGAAAGGCATTCCTGCCCATTCTGCTAATCGTCTTCAACGTTGGGCGTTGGCGTTATTGGGTTACGACTTCGACATCCAGTATCCACGTTCCGAAGATTTTGGTCAAGCGGATGCACTGTCCAGACTTATCAGTAACCATTCTACCACTGATGAGGACACACTCATAGCCACAGTATCAACCGAAGAGGATTCCGGTGCTACACTATTGGCGAATGCCGTTCGAGCAATGCCTGTTACCGCTGAAGATGTTCGGGAAGCTACCAGAGAAGACCCGATTATCCAAGAAGCGATCACCTATGTTCAGAGCAGATGGCCAGTTAAGCAGCTGAGTGGTGATATGCAACAACTAGCGAATCGCCGCAGCGCTCTCTGTGTTGTTAACGATTGTCTGATGTTCGGTGATCGCGTAGTAATTCCAACAACCCTACGTTCCAAAGTCCTACGCCAATTCCACTCTGGACACCCAGGGATAAACCGTATGAAATCCATCGCTCGAAGCTATGCATATTGGCCAAATATGGACAAGCAGATTGTCGACTTCGTCAAAAGATGTTCACATTGCCAAAAAGCTGCGAAAAATCCTCCTAAGTTGCCTCCAGTACCCTGGCCGAAGTCAGAAAAACCCTGGTCGCGAGTGCATATTGACTTCACTGGACCCCTAGATGGTACCACGTATCTGATACTGGTTGACTCATACTCCAAATGGCCGGAGATATTGCCGATTGCCCCACCCTCTACAACTCGAACCATCAAACTCCTTAATCAGATCTTCGCTCAGCATGGTCTTCCAGAAACAATAGTAACAGACAATGGCTCACAATTCACATCTAGCCAATTCCGAGAATTTTGCCTGCAAAATTCGATCAACCATGTTCGTTCTCCGCCATATCACCCGCAATCTAATGGACAAGCTGAAAGGTTCGTTGATACATTTAAACGAGCCATGCTTAAAGCACGAGGGGAGGGGACCACAGAAGATATCATAGAACGATTCCTAGTTGCGTATCGGACGACCCCGCATGACTTATTGCCAAACTCCAAATCCCCTGCTGAGATGCTTATGGGGCGAAAACTACGGACAGTTCATGGTGCGATGAAACCCAAGCAAGTGGCCCAGCAAAGCTCCCAGATGAAGAATACTCGAATTCCCTACGAAGTTGGCACAAAAGTGTATGCGCGAGATTATAGACACGGATGCGATAGATGGGTAGAGGGTGAAATCACACAAAAACATGGGAACGTCATGTATGATGTCAAGGTGAACCAAGAAATCTGGACCAGGCACCACAATCAACTCAGGTCAAGGAAAGCGAAGGAGAAAGAAGAAATTACAAAACGCGTCCCACTCGACTTGCTGTTGGACACGTTTCAACTTCCGCCAATACCTCCAACAGAGACGACTAAGTCATCTACTCAAGTAGAACATCCTTCTGGTTCTGTGTGGTTGCCTCGGAGGTCGGATCGCAAAAGAAGACACCCAAAGAAACTTCAAGTAAACCCTCGGTTACGTCACTATTAACTTCTCCAAAGGGGAGGTGTTGGGATACTCAGAAAAATATCCCAGAAACAATTATCCGGTTAAGTCTAACGCTACCGTTGAACGTTAAATGGTGTCATTTCCCGATTGGTCGTTTCCCTACTGATCAATATTTATTTCGCGTGTCATTTTCCTATTGGTCAATATTATTTAACGTGTCATCTTTCTGTTGGTCAATATTTATAGTAATCCTAACTGTATAAATATGCATTTGTTTGTAAGTCATTATTCTGCTGCTCCTGACCCCATAAACGATTTTCGTCTACGGTTCGTGTTCTGATATATTGGAGATTGGGAACAGTATTGGGGTCGAACTGGGATATCTGAAGCTTGTCGATTGGTAGAATTTAGAGTAGCCAACTCACGATTCACAATAAATTTGGCGACGGAGATTTAGCAACAAGTTGGTGATTAACTATGGATCCAGCCAAATTAGAAAAATTGTTCGAACAGCAGCTGAAGCTGATGGAGATGATTACTCAGACGCATATATCTTCTCGAGTCCCAACTGCACCGACAATTGGTAGAATTTAGAGTAGCCAACTCACGATTAACAATAAGTTCATTGCATGTCCAACTGTTTTACGAAGAGCCTTTTCCCATACCTCATGTACAATTTTAAAAAGTAGTCATGGTTAGAGGTGTGCTTACACTGTATCTGTCTCATTGTCCTAAGAGTTTTACTGGGCAGTCAGAATAATAACTATTTGGGACCAGTCCCATGTAATCAGAAATATTTTTAATTTTGTCATGTGAAGTCTATACTTTTATAATCTCGCGCCACCAGTACTCCATGTAGTAGATATTTAATGATCTCTTCTAGGCTTGAGAATGCAGCATAGCTGGAGATGCTTACAAAGATGTTATTACTGTTTTAATCCGTCTAAGCCGGCAACATGTACCATCGAGATTGGACTGTTGTGTTGAATTGCACGTGGAGACTATTTTTTGCCTATGCAACTTTCTGTCCGGACTTCCTGGGATAGTGAAGGGTTTTTAACTAAGCTAATACCCAGTACATCTTGACAAACAAATCCGGCTACCAACTGGAGATAGTAACCGCTATGTAGTTTGTTTTACACGTATTAAATTTAAGAGAGATTTTTCAGTGTTTCAAGCTGTAAATCCTTTTAAGCTACTCAAGTAAAAATAATATTGGATAAAATTAGAAATCTAATATCAAAGCCGGATGATTTGTATCGGAAAATATAAGTAGGTGTTAAGTACAAGTATCCAAATCTTGCTTCTCCAATTTCAAGTAAATCACTGTACAAGCAATCAATGTAGCACTACTTACTGTTTAGACAATGTTCAGCAATTTAATCATTTACTGATGTTTTCGTCATGATATCGTAAAGGCCTCTGTTGCAAAAACTTCAGGCATTGAAAAGAGATTGATGTGGCCATCAAGTGTTTGTAGTTTATGAAGATATAAATTTCAGTTGGGTGCTCGGAAATAGTTAAGTAAATGTATCCAATCTTTATCCTTTTTCTTTTACTGCTTGTCCTTGAAAGCAAGTACCTGTAGATTCATGTGGAGGAAGCATTCATTCATAATCAATAAATAACTATCCGATGCAGTGGATGTGTTTTAGAGTGACTTGTTCCCTTTATTGTCTCATCAGACTGGTTATCTCGCTTTCCGATGTTACGAGGTTTGTCACAATAGCTAGATTCACTCCAAGGCTTGGAGTTTATAAAACTGTATTATAGTTGCTAACTCTCCATAAAGGTATTTTCGGTTCGCGCTTGTAGACTGCTACTACTGAAAGATGTTATCGTATACTCCTTGGAAAATTGCCTTTATTTCATTAGACTACATCAAACAAATAAACGGGATTTCCTTGGAATAAAGTTTTTGACTTATTTACTGTGATGCTTAACGTACATGTTTTGGCGTTAGAATCGGTGTTTATGTCTCCACATAAGTCATTAAATTAGTCTACTAACATTTCATTGTTCACTAGCACGAAATAGTGGCACTAGATGATATTCAGTCAGATGGCATCGATAGGTGTTTTAAAACCTTTTTGTACTGAATTCATTGTTGTGGTTTCAGAATAATGTACATTGTCTTGGGTTGATGTATTGTTTGAATGCCGTTCAGTTAACTTCGTTTATGAGCAATGAAAGGTATCCACTGGAAATCTGTAGTATATTCTGAACATGTGAATTTTCGTCAAAGACAATGCATGGATAAAGTTTTAATGTATTCACATTTTTAAATAATTGGATCAGGCACAATAATTTTTTTATCTAAATGAGAAAATATCTGTCAAGGGTATGATGGATATTATCTTTCGTACGACTACGAACATGACTTATATTCTTCTTTTAATGAATAAGTGTCTTTTCGATTGGAATGCATAAGCCTATATTTGTACGTGATAATATGCTGTTTTATGTTGTTTTATGGCGAACCTAGAAAATTCGGTACTTCGACCAACAATTGAAAGATTTCATTTATATAAAAGATATATGGATGACACTTTCATTATTTGCGAAGAAGACAGTGACCTCAATGATATTTTGAATATTTTCAATAACTGTCACCCATCAATCCAATTCACCTTAGAAGCAGAGACAAACAACGAATTTCATTTTCTTGATATCCATTTAAAAAGAATGCCTGACGGTTTATTACAGAGATCGATATACAGAAAACCCACTTGGAATGGACAATACACGAACTTCCACAGTTGGGTTCCATTAATTAGAAAAAGGAACTTAATTCATTCTTTATCCTCAAGGATCAGGCGAATTTGTTCCAACGACACAATAGATGGGGAACTATTTTATCTTCGACAGACCCTCATCAAAAACGGTTATCCACCGAGATTCATCGATAGAAACTTGGTACCTAGACCCCATGACAAAGCATTGACAGTAGAGAAAAAAACTCTATTTATGAATATGGAATTTAAGGGAGATACAGCTGCTGAAATCCTAAATAAACGGATTTCGAAATCAATGAATAAAACATTCCACGCAGCTAAACTTCGAATCATCTTCTCTAGCCGACCTACCATTCTGGGGTGCGTAAAGGACAAACTTTCGCTTTGGGCCACTTCAATGTGTATCTATAAATTTACTTGCTCATGTGGGGCACGTTACATAGGCCGCACAAAGCGATCATTATCCAAACGTATCTCGGAACATTATCCGGCTTGGCTTTTGAAAGGAGAGCGAAAAACAATCACGAGTTCTATACAGGAGCACTTAATCAACTGTGGACATATCGCTCCAAAAGACTCTTCGTTTAAAATAGTTTACAGAGTCAAAGGAACTGGATCGAAGGGGGTTCGAATCAATATTTTATGCACCGCAGAGGCATTGGCAATCCACAAACTGAAGCCTGAACTTTGTGTGCAGAAACGATTTGTCCAACCTCTTATCCTTCCTTGGCCCTAATGGGTATGTTGCTAGGTGGTTTTTTTTTCTAATGTACTTTTATTATTACCCATATTTTTAAATTACTATTTTGCACTTTAAACTTTAATCATTTATTATTATTACCTTTTACAAGTTTACTTGATTATCATTCAGTTTATTATTATGACCTTTGTTGTTTTGTCGTTTTTCTTCATATCTGTCAATCTGTCAATTGGACTATCATCTGACCCTTAAATTTTGTTCTTCCTTACCCCTTGATTAGTACGTTAACCTCATTTGTTATTTATTGTCGAATCCATTTTACGTGATACAATCCTTTCTATCCTTCTATAGACATACATTTTCCATATAACTATATATACGAATGTACAGCTTAAGTAAATGATTTCGTCGAAAAGAAAATTTTCTTCGCTGAATTCACTTTTTCTTATTCAATATGCTGTTTATAAAAATATGCTCTTCGAAAATGTTCACGTTAAATTTTTAATAACAATAAATGATGAACACAATTAAATCTATTATCTACATTTGTTTGGATACAATGATCTGTTGTTTTCAAATTTTATGCATGTAACAATAACCATATTGTGTTATAATCGTTCTCACATGTTTCTTTTATAGGTTCTATGAAGGTACGTGCTACTACATGCGTCGGATTCGCATTAATGTCAGCTTTGGGTAAATATAATGTGGAGTTCAGACAACGGTATCCTGACTGGCATATTCCAGTAATCGGAGAGTACACTCCATCACCATATATATCTCTTAATCACCGATGGATGTATAAAGGTGCCAAACAACAAGAAGAAGAGCTGGAAAAACATGTATAATAATCTAGCACTTTTAAATTTGTGACCATATGTTTACTCCCGATTTCTGCAAATTAGTTAATAAATAATAGAGACTGTGCTTTATGTCTTTTGATTCTTTTTTGTGTGATCATACAAGTGTTACCGATTCTATCTACTATTTTTTTATTTTATGACTTGTTTTAGTCTGTCATTTGCGTATTGCTAATTAAAAAGCAAGATAATATTTTATGACACAAAGCCGCCCATCATATTTTAACTATGATATACATCCAGGAAGATATACTTGCATTTCGACATTTCGTCGAACTCCTCTCTCAGCAGAGGAATATCTCGATGTTATTGCTGGTGATATTCTAGTGGTTGAATGTCGACCACAAAATGGTTAGTGAACTGAATTTACGTTTTGTTTCGGTCCATCAGTTTTAATCAGTTATTATTACTATTTTTATTAATATTGACAGAGAAACGTACTGCATTTGTCATATTTCAAGTTCAAAGTCTTGTTATCTTATGTTTTTATTCTTAAGTAGTATTAGACTGAGTGCTAAACGGTGAAGTACAGTAGTCTTGGACATTTTAAAAGATAACTTGAGAATTTCTCATGGCGATATTTGTTTTAATGTTTGGATAGTTGATGTGTCCAAAGTTTGTTATATAGAACCTGTAATGTTGAAAATATTTGGTTACTGTCATGTCAGTCCAAAAGGCTTTATGTATCCGTTATTGACGGTCTTGATATTTTTCAGTAATACAAAACCTTTTAGTTAGCTCAAAAAGAATACCCTTCTACCGATTTTTGTAACACTTAGTTTTGAAAACTATTTTAGAGATTTCTAAATGTATACACTTCATCGAGGCGATTATTATAGATTCAGTCCATTTTGATTATGTCTAGTACTTAGTTATAATCCACTGCGTAATTTTATATCTTTATATATACATATATCCCACTTTTGATTTTTTTTGTACGCATCATTTCTTGTTCAAGCTACGGCACCGACCTCTTTTTTATATGGACTTAATGAAACAACAAAACATAAAGGATATTTTCCGGCATATTGTATAGATATACGTGAATTCGGATCACTTCAACTAAGAAGCAAAAGTACCGATCGAATTGCTTCTTCCCACATTTTTCCAAATTCACAGCTTATAAAAGCTACAAATGTTGATCCACAAAGCTTACTACAACCAGTTATACCTCCAAGGTGTAAACGTCTACTCAATGTATCTTCCTCATCCTCGTTACTCAGTATACCACTTAATTCATATTCTCATTCATGTACAAATCTGTCGATTCCTTCCCAAGATACTTTACCTCATGAAGTTCAAAAGTGTAATGTATCCGTACCAAGTAAGTTAAGTTGAAATTTCGCCTTTTAATCAGTCCTTATTATGTAATTTTATATACATGTTACATGATAAATTGTATTGAATCACATTATTACAATTTATTACTGTCTCAGTATTTCGACCTAGGTATTGCTAATTCAAAGTTTTGAAAGAGACTGGATTTTTGTTTACTAATAGTATAAAGCCTCATATTCGATTAACTTGTTTCGTCCCGACTTCGAATTATTTGACCAGTTTTCCTTTCATTTGACTCGTTTGTTATCAGAGCGAGACACAGTGTAGAGATGAATCCTTAATAGTTAACTTTTTTTAAAAACGTGTTTGCTTCAGTATTATATCGGAAATGTAACTATCAAATAAGATGTAGGTGATTCCCTCCTTAATACACAGTTTCTTGGCTGAGACATGGATTATTTGTAAGAGGAAACGGCAACAAACTGTTCCACGCACCATATAAATTATAATTATTAATATAACATTGACGTTTTTTTTTATTAAATCAGAGTTTCATAGTTCACTATATGAAATGCTAAAGTGGCTCAACAAACTGCCCTTCTATGTATATGCTACTAGTCGTTTATGCTGTAAGAAGATAATGTAAATTCACAAAAATGTTAGTTGCAGCTGTCAACTTGTGTATGATTCGGATCCATTTTTGAAGACATTTTCTTGTAAATAGTATTTGGAAAGTAGGATTTTGAGGTTTTTTAATCATGTTATGGTCTCCTTTCTTTTGAAGACATTCCTATTTACTAATATATACTATGTGATCTCTCTTTTCTCTTGTTTACTAAGATCTTATTTACCCATACTTTCTAGTTTTAGTGGTTCAAAGGTATTTATTTCACTATTATTCTGATCTTATAAAGTCCAATGTAGTTAGAGACTTCTGAATTGGTTATTGAATGTTATATGATATATTAAGTATTAGTTTACTGCTAAATTTCCCCATCAGTGGTTTATGAGAAGTTTAGAATCATTAGTAGTCTGCAGAGCAGATATAATTTTTCTAATGATAAGTTCAGTAGATGCGTAAATGCTATTTCTGATGCATAATGGTATGTTCTATCATATATGTGGCAATCAGTTTCAGTTTCGCAGTGTTTTGATATTTACGAAGTCATAGCTGATGATAGCGCTCGTAATTTACGTTTCATTTACTATTCATATTCTGGAAACAACTCTTACCAAGCAGCCGGATGTCGTGTAACAATTGGATCATAACTCTGATCAGATTGATAAGTTGATTTGACTGTATATGATTTCAGTATATTTCACGAATGAGAAGTAAGATAACCGAAGTAACCTTTTTCGTAAAGAAGTGAATTTTGACAGCAAAAATACTAATGATAAAGGGTTTGTGCTTTTAAATAAACACATGTGCTACGTATGCCCAACCACCGACTGCTTCGACGTGCTATGTTTTATGGTGTAGGAGTAGGTTGGGGGAAAGCTAGGGGCGACCAGACCAAAACACGCCACAAGTCCATGAAGTCACTGACAAGTGGACTAAGCCATGTTGGTAGGTGTATACTACCTGATTGGGGACCGCGAGATGATAGCAACCGATGGTTAGAGACATTGAATGACATAACTCAAAATCGTTTGCAATGGCGCAGGTGCATCCACTCTTTGTGTTCTCCCAAATTCTAATCTTCTGAATTCTTCATGTCCCTTATTTTCTTTCCAAATTTATTTCACTGGATTACACTCCTTGAATAACATCTTCAAACCCTAATGTTTTCGATTACTGCTTATACTCTTACTACCTCTACCACTATGGGATTTGAATCGACAACTGCATCTCTGTGCTAATGTGGTATGGCATCTTGAACTGGTGTACGTACGTACGAAGTTCTACGTTGTTACTGACTGACTGACTTATACTTTTAAATAATGGAACCCACAAGAAATCTCAGTGATAAACATGACATGGGAAACATAAACGATCGACGTTATGAAAACTATACGCTCCCCAATGACTGAGACACTAATTTTGGGCTTGGTGAATATTAAAATAAGTGTATTTCAACCTGTGACGACGGACCACCGGTGAAGTCGAGGAGTTTTATTATTATTTTATTTGAACACATACATATTGGTACAAGAGTGCGCCAAATATATATGTGCCACACAAAACAATGAGAATTCGAAGAGAAGGAAAAAGAAAAAAACGGTAGGGAGGGTAAAAAAAGAACAATAAGGAAGAGATTGGTGTAAGGTAGTGCAATAATAATAGTGGTAATAATAGGGGAACGGAAAAGTACAATCAGAAAAAATCTTTCAATTAAGGAAGATACAACCATTTCTTTATGAAGAAAGTAAAAGAGGGTTACAGCAGGATCGCCACTGGCTTATATTCTGAGCCATATCTGATAACGTCTCTAGCCACTGTGTTACACCATCTCTAGGACCCCAACCAGGGAGTCGTGAAGGACCAACACAAGCCAGTCCTTTACAGCTTTCTTTCATACCACGACACCATGTCATGCACTGACCACCTCTCCACTTTTTCCTACCAGTCCCAGCGTCGGTAAATAATGCACGAGGTGGAATTCTCTGGGACGACATTCGTAGAACATGCCCAAGCCACCGAAGTCGGTGTTTCAAGATGGTGACACCGATTGCATTATCGTCTCTGTGCCCGAACACACGATGCCGAACCTCTGCATTACTGACATGGTGTTGCCACTGAATGTCAGCAATCCTTCGGAGACAGCGATGATCGAACACAGAGAGTCTTCTAACATCCTCAACTCGAAGAGGCCAGGTTTCACAAGCATAGAGCGAAACTGCTCTCACCGACGCGTTGTAGATCCGACCTTTTACAGTCAGACTAAAATCACGAGGGCGCCAAAGGTGACCCAGATTGGCATAAGCCGCTCTGGCTTTCACTATACGTGCATTGATCTCATCACTCACACCCCCACCAGCACTTATGCAGCTACCTAGATACACGAACTTCTCGACTACGTCTATCTGCTCACCATCCAGGGTGAGTACAGGATTAGAATCCTGCCAGTCTTGTAGAAGTACTTTGCACTTCGAAGGTGCAAAGCACATACCATACCTACGGACACTGATTGCCAACTGATTAAGTGCGGATTGCATGGCTTGGGCATTATCGCACAGTAAGACAATATCGTCCGCATACTCAAGGTCGAGAAGTCTTTCTCCAGGCAACAGATCCACACCGTCACTACTTACATTCATCAGAGCTGTTTCCAGAATGTCATCGATGGCAAAGTTGAAGAGGAATGGTGAGATTGGGCAACTCTGCCTAACCCCACCGCTCGAATGGAACAATGGAGAGAGGTGGTTGTATGCCCTCACTCTGCCTGAGGTGTTTTTAAACAGGGCTTTTAGGATGTTAATAAACTTCTCAGGCACACATTTCTTCAATAGACAATCCCAGAGAACAGTCCTATCCAACGAATCGAAGGCAGCCCTGATGTCAAGAAACACTACGATTGTTGGCCTTTGATACGTATGGCGGTGTTCTAACATTTGGCGGAGGGTGAAGATATGATCAATACATCCTCGACCAGAACAAAACTCAACCTGCTCCTCGCGAATCAATCTTTCTCGGGTTTTGAACAACCTACGAAGTATGACGGAAGCCGATAGCTTGGACGCAATCGGAAGTAGACTTATCCTCCAATAGT